ATAACCCATAGAAAAAGATATGCCATGAATCCAGCAAACAATGCCCACGGGTCAAAAATAACCAAGAGAAGAGGAAGCAACCCACATGAGAAGCAAATATTTTTTCGTTATTCTTTACATGCTTTTAAAAAAGACCACAGTTTAGTCAAGAGGAAACAAAGCATAACATTAGTTTACTCTGTATTACCCTCTTCCAATAATGCATAGGAAATTTGTATCAAACATTGATACTACAGAAACATTCACGCAAAACCATATATTTCCAAATAAGTCTCAAGAAAGAGAAATCAAGCCACTCATTAAGACGACCACCGTCCTGACATCAATCGAAATCCAACACAGTTCTTAGGGTGTTGAAGTTCTGGGAGTGACTGCTATAAAAACTGGTAAAAAAGGAAAATTATTCTGTGTGGTAGTTTGCAAAGTTTCCAGTGCACAGTACAGCAGCAAGATCCCTGGTGTGGGATTCCTCTTCCCTGTCTGATGAAGTAGCCACTATCGACATTGCAGAACATTTTGCCTTATCCCATTCAATTTTTTTCTCCCCAATTTGAATCGGAATATTCTTGAAAAAGAGATGAAAACAATAGCTCCCCATCTTCATGAGTTCTTTCTTCATTAGTGCTTCTTTGTTCAGAATCATTAGTGTTATGACTGAGTAGACGTCGCCATCCCTAGAAAAAAAATGTATTCTCAACCTTCCAAAAGTTACCCACCTTATCAGCTTCACTTTACAAAGAGTGACATGGCTTTGGGAAGTCGTTACTAAAGATAGTGACCATGGGGGCGTATCCTATACCTCAGTCAAAGGCTTGAATGTGCAGGGTGCTGAGAACTGCTAGCTCCCACTGATGTTAACTGGATCTGAAAATGCTCAGAACCTTGCAGGATCCGATGCTAAAATGAACATCCCCTGAAGTCCGACAGTCTCCTCCACATTAGTATTAGTTCTAGGTCCGTTAGTAAAAACCCACTAGCCTCTGTCAACCTCAATACCCGTCTGAGGGCTCCGTCCCAAGGCCTGGCTCAACGTTTTATTAGCAAATGCACAGCTGTCATTGCCTTCCGTTCTGGCAGGTCAGTTCAGAACCTTTGCGTTTTCACTTTTAATGCTGCTTTCCAAGGATTCACATTTAAAATGCAGAGGCATGTTATCTTTCATCACCATATTCAACACAGTTTGCAGGGCATTAACCTTGGGTGTAAGTGTTTAGAATTGATCTGCTGGTTTCCAGTTCCAGTGGGCAGATCCCCAAATTGTTGGTCCACAGAGACTAATTTGCCACCGAGCTAATCCATTTGTCGCTGCAGGTTTTCAAATCAAGCCTCCAATTTTGGAGCCATAGACTGTGAATATCGTAGGACTTTCCCCATGATTATTAGTTACATCAATTTCAGAAGCTTCTTTGCGTTGAGGGGCTGATAACATAGCCTCAGGGGGTGAGGAAGAGGCCATCTCTTTGGAGTCTCCTGGATCAGCTAATTGGAAAGTAAAGTCAAGGAAGGAATTCCCTGGATTCTCAGCCTGGGCAGCTTTTAAGCTTATGCCATTTAGGAGGCATATTTAAATATAAAGAAGGGAACATCACATAACCATGAATAAACTCAAGACATAAGTCCTCTCTCTGTTCGTGTTATGTGCTGCTCCAAACTACACATCTTAAAAGAGGAAAACACCAAGAAACCATCACTGCCAGTAACAGACCAGCCAGTCAGCCAGCCCCACCTGCTAGCCTGCCTTCTTTGAAAGAAGATTGAGCTGCCAACAGCCACAAGAAAACCAACTCCTGCCTGAGAGTGGGCAGTTCCCAAACCAGAGAGCTCACCGTGACCGCACTGACTCACTGAGTGTTCTGGGCAGCTGGAGCCTGGATCAGACTTGCATCGAAGGTCCTATACTAAGGGCAGGATTTACCAATATGTTCTGGCTGCTTTGTGCTGCTACAGTGACGCAAGCCAGCCATAAACAGCTTACCCAGCCAGGTAAGCCAAGTTTACAGCTGCTCTGTGTGACCAGAGTGGTGCAAAAGTTGGAGCTCATCAGTGAATTTGTCCCAATGTGAGGTATTTATTTGTATGACAGTAGTGTGTAAAGGGCCCCATTACACTGGAACCCTCCTCCTCCCCCCCCAGTAAGAGACAGACACTGCCCCAAAGAGCTTGCGATCGAAATAGGGTGGGAGGAGAACAAAGGCACAGAAAGGGGAGGTGACTTGCCCGGGGTCATGCAGCAGGTCACTGGCTGAGCTGGGATTAGAACTCTCCTGATTCCCAGTCCCATCCTAGACTGTGCTGCATCTCTCTGAGCTGTATCAGCACCTGGCTAGAATCCTGCATTCACCCCAACTGGCTCTCACTCTGCTCAGGAGAAGAGAGGCAGGTTTCTAATGCTAGTGCTGGCATCGGGGTTGCATCTCTTAGTTTTGTCAGCCTCAGAAAATACACGCTGCACATGCTGATCAAATACCTTTTTATTTTGTTCTTCAATTCCCCTGGGCCCACAACAACATTAAAAACTGTCCACCTTTGGAAGAGGCATTGATTAAAAATACTTCTTAACAATACAGCTATGAAGCTAATTTCCATTTGCTACAATTATTCTTATTTTAATTTAAAGCAGTAGCTCCTTCATATCAAATTTCTGTCTCTTATAAAGAAACGAGTGCAGAGCAGAGAATTAAATCTCACTGTCAATTCACTGACAGCACCCAAAATTCTGCATGCAGATGTGCGCAAAATCTGTATATCTTTGGAAAAGGGATTGATTTAAAATAAGAGTGCTATGTATATTCACGCATCATAACTGCACATGCAAGTGATTAATTAGATCAATTACACATCTAAACGGCTATTTTATTTGCAGTAGTTCTGCTTAAAATGTGCACATACAGACATCTTGCACACACACTTTTGAAAAAACTGGCTCTAAGTGTTGCACTTCTCAGCATTTATCACTTCAGCATGATTGTTTCCAAATCACATCACAGACACGTTGTTATAAATTCGATGTCTTAGAAATATTATAATGAACACTTACGGCTGTTTGTAAAACC